CCTCCCTCCCTCCCTCCCTCCCTCCCTCCCTCCCTCCCTCCCTCCCTCCCTCCCCCCCCCCCCCCCCCTCTCCCTCCCCCCCCCCAGCGTGGGTGAAGAAAGTGTTTCATCTTAACAATCACTAAAAGTAAACCACGTCTTGCTCTTTATACCCCGCCTTACCCCCACCTTCACTACGTCTTTTGCGTTCTGCTTTAACGTTCATAATTTTAAACTATTCTTTCCTTGGAAATCTTCGTCGACTCAGGCCATGGACGGCGAGCAATTTGCATGTGTGTGTGTGTACGTAAGCCTGGATGGGTCTCTACGGCCGAGCCGAGGCCGCTGGTGATTCATATCGCCTCTCGAGCGCTCATATTTGCTCTTAAATATCTAAGGCGTAAGACGAATTTTCCCCGGAAGGAAGCTTATTATTCAGTATTTGATATAGTAGTTGTCGTTCTAGGGGAAACTTGGATGGAAAATAGTGTTATACAGTTTTCAAGGAGTTTTCAGTGTAGATATTGGAGCGGAAATGATGTTAAATGATGGTGTTTGGGGGGAGGGAGGGAGGGGTGGTTCTCTTATTAATGCCAACTTCCTTAAATTGTCAGAGTATTTGAAAGCATATCTTTACATTTCTCGCCATTATGCTGATTTGTGTGTGTGTGTGTGTGTGTGTGTGTGTATGTGTGTGTGTGTGTGTGTGTGTGTGTGTGTGTGTGTGTGTGTGTGTGTGTGTGTGTGTGTGTAGTTACCTAGTTGTGCTTGCGGCGGTTGAACTCTTGGCTCTTTGGTCCCGTCTCTCAACTGTCAATCACCTGATGTACAGGTTCTCTTATTAATGACAAGGGGTGTGTGTGTGTGTGTGTGTGTGTGTGTGTGTGTGTGTGTGTGTGTGTGTGTGTGTGTGTGTGTGTGTGTGTGTGTGTGTGTGTGTGTGTGTGTGTGTGTGTGTGTGTGAAGTCAATATTCCATTGTGACAGTTCCTTTGCAACTATTCTTAAATCACACCTCTCGAACTTTATCGACTGTAAGACTCGCATGGTTTTGGATCTCTTCCTACTCCAACCTTCCTCCTTCAATGCCCTTTTCTTGGTATGCAGTCTTTAATAGCCCCTTTTTTATCTCCTCTTTCTTTTTGTGTACTTGGTGTGTGTGTGTGTCCACCCACTTGCTGACTCCCCGTGTCGGGAGGGGCCATTAGTGTTGCTAGCTGACCCATTCATGGGTCTGGGTGTCCCCATGCTGCGTGGGTGCACTGGCGTAACAGAACCTTCAGACTAGGTGCCCGCCACGTCAACCTTCGACGTCCACGGCGTCTTGCTAATTCTAATTGTGATTTGTTAATGCTCCTGTTAGGAGGACGTAGCTGCGTTGTTGTTGAATTGTTGTTTACCTGGGCGTGGCTATCGTACCCGAGCCGTGTTTCGAGGGACGTACGCTGATGCATGCTATCGCATCTGCAAGATTACCACGTTAGGTAGAAGGTTGAGCGGAGGAAGAGTATGCTTGGGAGAGGTGACAAGGGGGATAGGAGTTGTGGGAAGGGACTGAGAGAGGTGGTGATAGGATAGAGAGGATTGGGGAGGGGGAGCAGGGCTTTATGAACTAGGGTCGAACGGACCAATGTGGCACATCTTCCGCTCTTGAACATCAAAGTCCTCCCCCCCAACACCTTCCTTGTCGCATGGGAGGGTTGAGAAGGGCAGGTCAAGAGCAGCAGTCAATGGACTTGGCAGGCGATGCACTCATGCACCCGAGTCCATTCGTGGAATTCAATATTTATATAGAAATCCAAAGTGGTAAGCACTCGGTGTAGTGTGAAGAAAGAGCTGGGATACTGAGGGAGATACCAGGAGCGCTTACATCGGCAGATATAGCTCCCTATAGCTAAGGAGCCGGTCGGCCGAGCGGACAGTACGCTGGACTTGTGATCCTGTGGTCCTGAGTTCGATCCCAGACGCCGGCGAGAAACAATGGGCAGAGTTTCTTTCACCCTATACCCCCTGTTACCTAGCAGTAAATAGGTACCTGGGTGTTAGTCAGCTGTCACGGGCTGCTTCCTGGGGGTGGAGGCCTGGTCGAGGACCGGGCCGCGGGGACACTAAAAATCCCCGAAATCATCTCAAGATAACCTCAAGAAGAGAAACCCTACACAAGAGAGGGAGCAAAACATCGACTAAGAACTATTGACCAGTCCCACTAACCTCCCGCCATAATACAAGTTTCATACATAAACTCTGAAGGTTTATTATTCTGATGGTAGCAGAGTGATGATGTTTGTTACACAGGTCATACTATCATTTTGCAACCCGTTCTCGCAAATTTAATAAGTCAATATTGACTTATTAGTTGCGTGCATAGGTGACATACTTAACATAATAGTTTCCCTTGAAAAGCTTCATAGAAAACACCGACCTTACCTAACCTACTTAGTATGTTAAAATAAGCATCTTATTGCTTCGTAATTACAATTGTTACTTAACCTATTATAGGTATAGGTTAGGTAATAATTGTAATTACGAAGCAATAAGATGCTTATCTTAACATACTAAGTAGGTTAGGTAAGGTCGGTGTTTTCTATGAAGCTTTTCAAGGGAAACTATTATGTTAAGTATGTCACCTATGCACATATTTAATAAGTCAATATTGACTTATTAAATTTGCGAGAACGGGTTGCATTTTGAGTTTGAGGTTAATGGCGACGTCACACAAGACTGTTCCAATCTACTCGACTGCGCCATCTGCCATTAAGGGCGGTGAACCTTTAACCGGCATTTATTTCCTTCCACAATAAATATATCACTGGTCAGTTTAGAGGCTGTCACATGCTGCTGTCAGCCCAACCTCCAGCCCACGCTGTGTGTCAAATACTGGCTTAGGTATATTTTTATGTCGGTATTTGATTTACACGTTAGGATCCCTCATGGCCAATGGTTCTGATTACTTGGGCTGGCTCTGTTGATGTTGTGTCCAACCCTTACTTGGGCTGGCTCTGTTGATGTTGTGTCCAACCCTTACTTGGGCTGGCTCTGTTGATGTTGTGTCCAACCCTTACTTGGGCTGGGCTCTGTGGGTGTTGTGGCCAGCCCTTACTTGGGCTGGGTCTGCTGGTGTTGTGTCCAGCCCTTACTTGGGCTGGCTCTGTTGATGTTGTGTCCAACCCGTCCTCATCATTTGACCACTGTCAAATTTTAAGTGAAAAAAAAACCAGAAGCGTCCACAGTTGGGAAACATGTCTGTATATCCTCTTGATGCTGATGCTTTTATTAGCTCTAAGACTCGTAAATATTACGGAGCCCGTGCTGAGGGTATAGTGATTACTACTAGACATGAAGTCCATTCTCATACTAACTGGATAGCTATCTAGATATTTGTGATTGAAAGTATATTATGGTTCCAGTAATATTTTAATTCTAAACTGGCAAGAGAACCTTTGTGCTAAACAGAAAAAAAATATTATCAAGTTATAATTTTATTGCATTATAAATAGCTGGTTTAAAATATAAACAGTTTTATGTTAACTAATTTTCTTTGAAATCATCTGAAGAATTGGGTGGTCTGTAAACGAAATTATAGAGGATACTCAAATAGTTTTAGAATTTCATAATTCACATAGTTAAGACTAATACACTGTACTAACATAACCAAATTTAATTGAAACTAATATAACCTTAGCCTAACATAACCTTAGCCTAACATAACCTTAGCCTAACATAACCTTAGCCTAACCTACCTATTGCCTAACCTAACCATGGATAGGTAGTAGATAATAGCACTAATGACGTAATGGTTTTGAAGTGATTATTACCTTACCTCCAAGGTATTCCTCCCAGAGGACAGCTGCACGTTAATATTACGGTGCTTATAATTTTACTAAAACACCGGAATTTTTACGCTGGGAGCTTCCTTTGTGGCTGATGAAACGAGTCAGTATATACGCATTTAAGTCTATATGTATCTCTAGACCATTATAGCCCCCCCCCTCAAAAAAAAACTAATGTGACCATATTTTGACCTTTTTTCGCGTTTTTAAAAATTTCAGTAAATTGAGGATATTTTCCCAGTTCATACCACTTATGTTCCGCATCTCTGTTTTGCATTCAGGAGCTGGATCATTTTTCATTAATATATATATATATATATATATATATATATATATATATATATATAATATATATATATATATATATATATATATATATATATATATATATATATATATATATTCCAAATCACCCACCAACCACAATCCTGCCCGTTTTCTCAATTTGCCAACCTGATCCCAGCGACATTTTCCAATCTCTTGCTTCCCGCCTTGTGTGTTGTGGACGCCTTTAGCTCTCCCACCCTCTTGCCCCTCCACCTTTGTCCGTGTTGCAATGATGAGGCAAGTGAGGGCATCGGAGCAACACACACGGCATTAAGGTAATGACGGTGAAACAGTATCGCCAGGTCCACATTGGCCACGCCCTTCACAAGCCTCGCGTCACTGTTGCTCTCTCTCTCTCTCCTGCCTTATTAAAGCCTAATTTCCGTTGTCTTACTCAGGTCGCCTCATAAACTATTCTCATAGGCTGAGGGGACTTTATATATATATTTATTATTAATCATGTAAACAAAAAATACTTAAGTATATATGTATATACTTTATTTCTCTTAACTTAAAGCAGTTTTGTTACGTTATATTTAGGGTAAGATTAAATTTGGAGCCATTAACAAATGTAGTACTAATATTGTAGTAATGGGGAGGTGAGTGGTTTGTAACACCCTAGTGTCAGTTTTTAACTATTATTAAAGTCATTTTCCCTATATCATTATTTTATATAGGCCTGCTGGTGAGTGAGGCATGACCAGCAACCCACACATAGGAAATGAAAGGCTTTTTTCGTTTCATATGGTTGGGTTGGTCTATTTTGCTTTCAGCAAGTTTGTGATTTATTCCCTGCGCCATTGAGGCAATGGCAACCTTTTTTTCAATTTTGAAGGGCATTTTCACGGCTAATTTTACCTTGTAGTGAGCACAGAGCGATGGTGTCGTCTGCGGGGCAATCTACTCTTCTACTTCAAGTCGCGGGACCACTGGTCAGAGCCCGCGGGAGTTATTGTCCTGGAGAATTGTCAGGTGACTTTGGATGACTCCACTGAAGCAACATTTGCCTTTAACCTCGGTAAGTGTTTGAGCAAAAAAAAAATATATTTATAATAAGGCTCTTAATGTTGTTCAGTTCATTCCTTTCCAGTGCCCACTTGTTCCTGACATATGTATGTCTGGGTTGTCAGAAGAAACAGGACCATGCCTATTCTTGCAATTACAGTCCCGCTCCTGTGCCAGGTAAGTCCACTACGGGCTCACCATAGCCTGTGCTACTTGCAACGTTTTGTTCCCAGTAGCTGAATCTAAAACATCAAGAAGTCGTCTATCCTTCCTCGCAGATGATGGTAAAAAATTGCGTAGAATCATTTGGTTCCGGGGACATGCTTAGAGAGTTCAACACTTTTCAGAGTCGAAAATAAAATGGCTAACTTTAATAAATGCAAATTAATGATGAATAAGAACGAAAAGAGATTATAAGGGCATTGTAGAGTCAAAGGAAAAGCTTCCAGTAGTGAAGAGAATGATCTGGAAATATTTGTAATTGGGGGAAGACATTAAAATAACCGCAAAATGTGCCTAACAGCCAAATATTCGGGTAGCTTTCAGAAAACTGGACAAAAAAGTCACTGTCAAACTGCAGAGGCTCGAAACTAGGACGAAGCGCTTGTCCGGAAGCTCGACTTGAAAACCCACAAAGTGAAACTTTCTAGAAAAGTTAAAAGATATGGAGCAAGGCTCGTCCCACAGGCGAGAGGATTAAACTACAGCGAACATGTGAGAAACTCGACCTAACCACGTTAAAGGAGAGAAGAAACAGATAGATACCGTTTTAAAAAGTTCGAATGACAAACAGTAGGATTAGAGGCCTCTCAAGGAACCTAGAGAGAAAAACGTGAGAAGTCATTGCAGTCAACTATTAAGCTGTATGACGGGGCTCATGAGCTAATATCCGATGCTGAAATCACATCTAGCCTAGTATAGTACACACACACACGCAATGAAAGTGATGGTTTCCAGTAGTGAAGCTACAATAGACTTGAGAATGGTTCAGGACGGACCGAAACGTCGTCGTCCCTTCACTTTCTAGTGTGTGGTTTGGTTTTAGTTTTTTTAGGCAAATTTTAGGTTCATCTTTTCTATTGACGAAATCTAGGGACTCGGTCAGCCATCTTTCACTGATTATGTGGCAGGGATCGCTATTAGGCCCGACTTCCCCACTTAATAGGACCAACCAATGTCCGTCCCGTACCCTGCATTCACGCCCATTCACCCTGCAAAATTGGGCGAAGCTAACCCCAAGCATCTGATCTTCAACCTTAGGCAGATAGAAAGACACACCAACAAATACATACTCTTATACTCTTGATATACTTATACCCTTCTAATGAAACATACATTCATTTGTTTGTCATTTTATTATATTTGGTGCAAGTGACTTTGGTAAAAATACCTCTGACACCATAATAACAATCACTCAATTAAATCCTTCATTCCCCTCTCTTCACACATTGAGTATCTCCTCACCCATTGAGGATCTCACATCTGATTGACAGTTGAGAGGTGGAACCAAAGAGCTAAAGCTCAACCCCCACAAGCACAATTAGGTGAGTACAACTAGGCGAATACACACATCTGTACATTTTATTTATATATACAAGAGTTCTTACATTCATGTAAAGTCACTAGCATGCATAGCATTTTGGCTAGGTCCTTAATCCTAATTTTTTCCCCGGAATATGACCTGCCAAATTGTTTAACAACCAGGTACCCTTTCACTGGTGGGGTAAACAAAGGCTACAGTTAAGATTGGCACCCAGTCAATCCTCCCTGGCCAGGATACAAATCCAGGCCAAAGCGCTCGTGAAGCGCCGGGTGAGTGCTTTACCACTACACCACAGGGACTGTGTGGAGTAGGTACATGCACTCTCCCCCTCCCTTCTCACCTCTTCTATAGAAATATGTACACCTTCCATTTCTTCTCCCCCTTCTTGCATGCACTTCCCTCAAATGTTCTTAGATTCTTCATAGGGAATTTTTCCTGTCATTTTTTTAATATAATGTCAGTATGAAGTTGCTACTGTATTATTGTTTCTTTATACCTTTTGAAACATTTTGTATTGATAATAACATTCAGAATACTTTTGTTTCACAGTGTTTGAGGGCGGTAGCCAACACTGTGCAGCACTATGCCAGAGTGAGAGAGACAGCTGGATAACAGCTATCCATCAAGCATCATTTGCTTACATGAGATTACAAGTAAGTTGCTCTAGGAGCACTTTTAAGCATCACAGTTTATGTTTAAAGTCACCTTGATTAACTAAAGTCCATTAGATAAATAACTGTATTATTTTATGCACTCTAATAATAGCTTTTTTGTCAGATTAAGCAATGTTATAAGTTTCTAATTCAGGCTATCTACTCCATTTGTTTTCACAATCATTTATACTAAGTGCATCCTCTTCACATATCCTACAATTACTCCTAGGAACTTCTCCAGCAGCAAAAATCACTTACTAACCCTTCAGAAGTTGTTACAAATGTTGCTGTGATTGACTTTTGTACTGATATATGGAACTATTGCTTATCATAATGTTTGTGCCTCCATGCCTAAATTAAACACTATATTTGGAAGTGCTTGGTCATAGTAAAATCACTATCCAATATCTTTTAAATTAAAACATTTATTTTTCTTGTTATAGGTGGAAGCGCTTCAACAACAGGTTACTGCAAGACAGTCATCTCTACCAACAGATATTCATCGACACCGCATCAACACAGGGGTTACACTAGGTCAGTTCATTGTACCTACACTCTTCCACTTTCATTTTTAATCTACTATACATATACTATATATATATACAGGGGTGGTCCAAAAGTAGGTGGACAGTATGGAATAATTGTGATGGGAAACAGTTTGAGCACCTGCGTTGATGAAATTTAAGGGCTTTTGTATTATTGTTCAAAATAAAATGTAATTGACAATGTAATAATTGTGTTAATAAATATAATTGTATGTACACGTAATCGCAGCATAATTGTTAGCATGTATTATCCACCTACTTTTGGACCACCCTCTATATATATCTAGGGTATATGGATAACTTTTGCTCGAAACACCAAGCAAGTTATTCTTATTATATTTGCCTATTTGTACTTAAAGGGAGTCGAGCTTGAACTCTTGGTTCCTGCTTCTCGACCTTCAATCGGCTGGTGTACAGGTTCCCGAGCCACTTAGGCTCTATCGTATCTACTTCTGAAGCTGTAAATGAATTCCCAAGATTTCTTCTGAATGCCATCCATTTGTTCATTAATCCGACACTAAATTTTTGTGGCTAATCTCTAGCTCATTTGGATAGTTGAAACATTACAACTGATCTAAATAAGGTTTTGAATGATCTAAATAAGGTTTTGAATGATCTAAATAAGGTTTTGAATGATCTAAATAAGGTTTTGAAATGGTCAAAAGATTGGCAGATGCTGGTTAATGCCGACAAATGTAAGGTTTTGAGGCTAGATAATGATGATAGTTACAAGCTACGAGCTAGATGGTGTCGAGATTGCGAAGTCGGATTGTGAAAGGGTTCTGGGAGTTAAAATTAGTAAACATCAATGCATAATTGTTTGTAATAAGGCAAATAGGACACTGAAATTTATTAATCGAAGCATTAGTAATAAATGCCTGGCGTTGTTCTTCAGCTATATCCTGCTCTGGTTAGGCCATATTTAGATTATGCAGTTCAATTATGGTTGCCGTACTATAAAATGGATATAAATTCACTAGAACACGTCCAGCGTAGGATGACAAAGTTAATCCTCCAATTTAGAAACCTGTCATATGAAAAAAGATTTGACAAAACTTAAATTACATTCTCTAGAAAGGCAAAGAATTTTTGGTGACATGATGGAGGTGTACAAGTGGATGAATGGCCATAACAAATGAGATATTAATAGGGGTATTAAAAGTATCAACACTAGACGGAACACAAAAACTATGGGTATAAATTAGATAAGTTTAGATTTAGGAAAGACCTGGGTAAATACTGGTTTGGTAACCGGGTTGTTGATTTGTGGAGCCAATTACTGCGTAACATGATGGAGGTAGGGTCCCTCAATTGTTTCTAGCATTGGTTGAACATGTATACGAGTGGGATTGGGTGGTTATAAATAGGAGCTGCCTCGTATGGGTTAATAGGCCTTCTGCAGTTACTTTCACTCTTATGTTCTTATTATTGCACCTCTCAAGGGGTCTACAGGCTGTCCCTTTGCCCCTCATTGTAAAGGGGGAGGTACTTTAAAGCATACAAAGCCTCCCTCTTCTTATTTACATATTTGGTAATGTACGTTATTTAAAAATTATCACAGAACAAATTTAATGAATAAAAGTGCATTTCCAGTATGAGAGGGGACACAAGAAATGAATGACACAACTATCTTGAATAGAACTCAGACAAATTACCAAAGTGTGTGCATTTGCACTATATTTATAACACACAAAATTAGGGCATAATAAAACATGGAATAAATTTATCAACTCACCAGATTGACTACTGTATTAGTCACACTGAGAAGACTGAGGCAAATGCCTCAACACTTCACTCACACTTCTGCTCACCACAGGCTCCAGCTGCCTTGTGAGGGTGGTGGTGGTGCAACGATTCCTTTTCACAAACAAGTGGGAAATGAACTTTACACGCAAACATACGCATTCTCTCACACACCGTACAAATAAACTGATATATTTAAGTGAAACAAACATATAATTAATTAAAATAAAGGCTAGAGATTACATTATTATTATTATTATTATAAAGGCCATTGCCTTAGGTAAATGTTTATCCACCTAACCTACCCCCCCTCCCCCCCTCTCGACTAAAACTGGTTACAGGCCTGCATATGTAATTTTAAATTTATCTGTATGAGAGGACGAAGCCTCTGGTGTTAAATACAGTATCACAATGCTTGAGTGCAATTTACACAGAAGATACATATTTCTTCTAGCATGATAGTTTTCAGTTTGTACGTTTATTTAATATGTAGCTTGATTGTGTCATACTTGTTTAAAGAAACATATTTGCTTTGTTACTTTCCTGCCTGTTTTATCCTACCTACATGCAACATAAAACATTATAGTTAAGGAATATTGTGCCTGGTTAAATATCTAAAAAAATATTGCACCAAATAGTTTGGTATTTGTGTAAGGCATGACACACGTAAGCTTCATTGCAATATTTTGACTAAGGTAATGCTCTTTGGATACACAATTAAGACATTTGAACTTTCATTGAATATTTGTAGGATATGATGAATGTCATTGCATTATAGCCACAGTAATGTATTTAGTAGGAAAATGAGCTGAAGAAAATACTGCATTTAACTTTTAATGGAGTTTTCGGTAAATAGAAGACATTTGTACATGTAATAGCTGCATTCATCACCAATTTAGATGTTTGAAAAGGAATACATGACAGCTTGTAAAGCTTAGAACATGACAGTAATAAGAAGGGAAGGACCAGTTAGTGCAAAATAAAAAGGAGCTTTAATTGTATATAGTGGAGGCAGGGTCAGATTAATACGTGGGATCCTTATCTATATCATGGTTTAGATTTCCATATTGTTATAAGTAATTAAATAAAGTTAAAGTGTAGCACATTTTAAAGAGCGCAAAGCGTATAACTTATAAAACTTTATATTTGCATGTATACACTATATTTATATAGACAAAGATGAATAAACGGCTAATAATCTAAAAAAAAAACTAACAATTTGCAAACATCCTATTTGCATTATCAAATGTTCCTATAGTTTCTTAATTAGCATACATGAAATTTAATATTTTATTCCATAGTAACACAAGAGCATTGCACAGATTAGCACTTAGTTAATGGAAGTGGCCATGCAGCATGCAGTTAAAAATATATGATCTAAATAAATTGTGTTATGTAGCACAAAAGCATTATGTTGATCTGTGCCCATTAAATTTCAGCAGCAATACAAATTTATCATTTTTTCAGTTTCACATCACATAAAATTAAAATAATTGTTTCTTCTTGTTCTCTCGATTTTCTCTCGAAGAACATGGAAGACCATGACTTCCATGACTTCTCGAGAGAAGTCATGGAAGATGTCATGAAATGATAAGCTACACTATTTTATAGTTTATTGAATCTATGGACATAATGCTTAGTGCAGGCCTTTCTTACAGTCTTGATGTCTGCAGTGCATACCTAATGCTCTTCAACCAAACCTTTTTTTTTAATTTTTATGAGCAGTTTATTATCATTCGACTAAACAATATCTACAATCTAGCTTCTACATTAGGTAAAGTCAACTGAAATTATTTTTGAAAGATGATTTAAAGACGTTCCTGGTGGTATAAATATTATATTCTGTATGAACAAAAACAAGGACTGTAGAGTGTGGGTTTGTTGTGTCAGTTGACATTTTGTCCTGCTATGGCATCTCACCATTAGTTGAGGAGGAGCCCATGCCGTGAGATGGATACTGTGTTTAAAATGTGTGATTTGCTCTCTGGCAATTGATTTTGTTTTGAAGGACTAATCAATTTTGGGTTCGGAAGACTGCTTATGAGAGTTTAATTTTTAGTTCCATTGTTTGTGTGTTTTAACGTGTGATTTTACTTAATTTTGTCCATGCTCTGGCCCTGGAACTCCATCTGTTTGCTTCTGACAATGCCAAGTGAAGAGCACAAGTGCTATAACTATCTTCCATTTGCACCGTTGGTTATTCTAGCATACATATTTATATATATATATATATATATATATAATATAGTACTGTATATATATATATATATAATACAGTATTGGCATCACTTGGTTTTATTTCTGATAGGCCTTGCTAACATCTCTGGTTCTTCTGCCCAAGGTGATTAAATTTATTAATTATGATACTGTTCAATGCTTAGGTTATAATTGGACGCAAGTGTTTTTGTTTTTATTCTGTTCATTTGCTTGTTGTGTTCAGTAGATAGATTCTCTTGCTGTTATTCATGGAAATATTATTATGGGAAGAATGAAGACTATCAAGTTTCCAATTAATAACTCTTACTGATACTTGATAGTCACTGGATGCCACTACATTCCAGCTGCACACAATTCTTCATTTTTGTGCTGTTTTCCCTATATTTTCTTGTTTTCCAGTTATGTTATTTTAAGTTGATGTCTATCATCCTGTTCATATTTTACTCCATTGTTATTACAGTAACACATTATAGTTAAGAAAGTTGGCTTTTGCCTTGTTAGTATGGAAACATATTTGCAAATGAGATTCATGTATGGTAATCATTACTGTAGTCCGTTCAGAATTGTATTTTTAATTTTGTATGATTTTGCTTTGTTTACATGGACAACACGTGTACCAAGACGCGTGTAAATCTAGTACAACAACTTTAAGCCTTGGATCTCTTATGTACAAAGCTGAAGCTCATTCGCCGGCCTTTTTTTGTTGCCTTACTAATGTTTGAGAGAATGCACATTGTGCCCTCTCTGGTTGTCATAAGGTTGAGCAATACCATCTTGTTTTACACTGCTTTTGATTCGAAAGCATTTTATATTGTGACTGCCATATAGTATATCTCTTTTCCGGAAATTTAAGTCTTTAATATTTTTAATTTGTTCTTGTGATTTTATAGGCTGAAAAATAAATATTTAAATATCAGAAAAAGAAACTAACCCTTATCTGACCTCTGCTTTTGATGCATTAAATATATTTTTGTTTATTTTTTTGGAGATCATATTACCATGGTTAGTTTCACTTGAAAGTTTTATCATATCACAATAAATTTGCATGACAAATACTGTATTAACCTAGAGAGAGAGAGAGAGAGAGAATGTAACCCTGGTAATATGTGGTCCTTGACAGGTGTGCAAAGTAGGCGCAGTCCCCCTGTAGGTTAGTAACCAACTCCACCATTCACCACCACTCACCAAACCACTTAGTGATACCAGCATGAGTCATCTGCATAAGTATTATTTTGTTGTAGAGAAACTAATATTGTGCATGAGTGTCTTGCTGTCCAGTGTACAATAAAGTGGGAATCAGCCCTTTTCAAATTCCTGTTATGCAGTTTTAAGTTGCATGTACACATGAAATGTGTTTCTTCTTTAAAAAAAATTACATATGTACTGTGTTATATATTATATATATTACATATAATATACAGTGGAACCTCGAGTAACGAGCGGCTCCAATTACGAGCATTTCGAGTAACGAGCAAGCCACTTGCAGAAAATATGTCTCGACTGACGAGCTTTTGCTCGATTAACGAATGTTCGCACTGGCTCTCGGACGCCTCTGACGACAGTTTTGTTGTTGTTTCGCAAGACGAGTTTTCCAAATGACGAGCTCGGTGCCGGAACAATTTAAACTCGTTCATCGAGGTGCCACTGTATATGTGTGTGTGTGTGTGTATGTATATATATATATTAATATATATATATATAAATATATATATATATATAAATATATATATATAAATATATATATATAAATATATATATATATAAATATATATATATAAATATATATATATATATATAATATATATATATATATATATATATATATATATATATATAATATATATTATATATATATATATATATATATATATATTATATATATATATATATATATATATATATATATATATATATATATATATATATATATATATATATATTATAATATATATATATATATATATATATATATATATATATATATATATATATTATATATATATATATATATATATATATATATATATATATATATGTCGTACCTAGTAGCCAGAACTCACTTCTCAGCCTACTATTCAAGGCCCGATTTGCCTAATAAGCCAAGTTTTCCTGAATTAATATATTTACTATAATTTTTTTCTTATGAAATGATAAAGCAACCCTTTTCTCTATGTAGGAGGTAAATTTTTTTTTATTGGAGTTAAAATTAACGAAGATATATGACCGAACCTAACCAACCCTACCTAACCTAACCTAACCTATATTTATAGGTAAGGTTAGGTTAGGTAGCCAAAAAAAGCTAGGTTAGGTTAGGTTAGGTAGGTTAGGTAGACGAAAAAACATTAATTCATGAAAACTTGGCTTATTAGGCAAATCGGGCCTTGAATAGTAAGCTGAGAAGTGCGTTCTGGCTATTAGGTACGACATATATATATATATATATATATATATATATATATATATATATATATATATATATATATATATATATATATATATATATATATATATATATATATATATATATATATATATATATATATATAATTATATAATTCTTATTGTGGTGTAAGCTCTGAAACAACATTTGTCACTTCAAGGCTGCAAATTTGCATACTGTATATTCATATAGAGCATACATGGCTAATACGGAATTTTTGAACTCTCCAATATAATCTGAATTGCTTTTATTCAACAAGAATGCTCGATGTTGAAAATAAAATGTGTGTGGTCAATAAGCCAAAAATAAATGCGAGACCAGTATCTTGGTTCTGCCCATTCAAGTAGTATTGCACAATCTCACTCTAGTTCTGTGCTTTAGATGGAAGAGTGTAGCCAATCCTGTGGCTCATTTTAGGATCAAGGTCTGATGTATCAAAATTTGATTCCACATTTCCAGTCGGCCAGGTATTTTACTGATAATTTTTTTTCTGTGCCATGGGGAATGAACCATTCAGGAACTAATGACTGGCCTTAATTATATTCATGGTGCAACAGGCCTTCATCGCAACTTGTGGCTCACATCGCAGGAATTATTGCACTCTCACGTCTGCTAAGAAACCTGGGAAGGAGATGGTGTGATGGTCTTAAGGGCTGATTACTCGGATCTGAGGCATTACCTTTTATCCCAATATATTTTCAAATTTTTCGGATATTTAGTGTTGTAACTTTTTAATTACATTTTGCAAAGCTTTTGTCAGAACATATTAGATTTAATTGTTATTTGATTCGTAACTTTTGCAGCACTTTATTTATTTATTTAGTTATTAGTTTGCTAGATAGGATATTCAGTGTTGACAAAATATAGTAATCCAATCTAGCTATTTAAACACTTACCGTATATAATCCCCCCCCCCCTTTTTTTTGTATAATATTATGAATAGTCTTGCATGCAGCATGTATAGTTTAGATTACTGATGCATATTTCATGATTATGATATAATCAGTTATCAATTAATTTGGTTGTCCTGACAGATGTCAATGAGCCTCCATTTTTGGAAATATCTGTGTCATGTGACAATCTACGCTGTGATGGTGATGGACAGCCACCGTCTCCAAGAGTAACCGTACAAGTTCTTAACCGGCCACAGACTACATGGCTTCTTTATGCACAGACTGAAGTTATTGAAGTAAGTAATTTTCTGTACGGTTTGCTCTCTTAGACCAAAAGTGCTAACTTGTAAGAAGTAATGCTTGGATTTTAATGCTTATTACTAAAGTTAGTTTTACTTGGAAATAACTATGCAATAATATAAAATTGTATTACTATCTTCACAATAATACAGGGAATAGTCTTATTGCTATAATTTAACTAAAATAGTTTTTTGGGAACTTTTTAAATTTTGTTTCTATGTACATCTTAACATGAAGCTCCGTCCTCCAGATAGTGCAGTAAGGGACATAAGAAAAGACCACACTGTCCAAGTTTAGAAAATGGCACACTGATTCAGGCCAGTGTTAGCAATATTCTGGGGAACCTGAAACTTGCTTCAGGTCATAGTGCATAGAGGAAGTGAACTGTGCTCGGAAACATCACAAGAGTTCTCATTTTTTTTTGGAAGGCAGAAAGTTTCTTGTGTAGTTATTCTTTTTTACATGTTTGCTGGAATGAATTTAGCTCATGCAAGATTTTCTTTCCCCAACAGAGAACAAGCAATCCAAATTTCCTCTCTACAGTAAGTTTCCGCAAAAGTGACGGATTAGATGCCAACACACAAGTTCGGTTGGCAGTGTATGATGTGAGGGAGAGAGTCACAAATACCACAACTCAACTAGGGCAATCTATGGTAATTAAAGGGTTATATTACTGTATTTAATGTTATTAAGAAATGTTTATAATTTTATGCTTGGAAATTATCAAATACTGTACTGATTAAGTTACAGTGTCCAAATAAATGTATGCTAACATTTTGGTGGTTAGGTAATTACAGAGATCCAAAAACTGTCATATTTTTGTCACTATTTGTGGTAAGTAAGGCCACCTGCCAGGCAATCTCTCTTAATCTTTGCTCTCTTTTCAATGTAACATGTAATAATAGAGCAAAACTATACTATCATTTTGGGCCAAATTTATAAATACTATACATAAAATTTTTTGCAAAATTGATAATAAATCACCCATTGAAGGCAAATTCTTCTATACATTCTTCTCAAATTCTGTGACATACAACAGATTAATACATTTTTCAGTGGTATATGAATGGCTGCAAAATTTAATATGGACCAACCTTATTAGTGAAAACATGTTGCCTCCAGGAAATTAAACATGTTTTGTGGATAAACCAAACCAGCTATCCTCAATGTGAACGAGCTTGCTGAAACATGGATAGTATTTAATTATTTAATTGTCATATTTTTCAGGTGAGTCTTGGTGGGCTGCTTGAGACTGGTCGATCACGTCTTAGTTTGCAATCACCCCATGGCCGTACTGTGGGATTCATCACCATAACAGCGTGGACACTAGAGGCAGAATCTGTAGATGCATCTACACACACACCTAGCAATGCAACACCACTTCACCAGCCCGTGAGTTATTTTGCTGAATTATATACTGTATGCTTATTTAAAAAATATATATTGTTTGACTTTAAAAATTTATTTCACATTTAATGTCGATCTGTGTTCAGATTGTTTCTGGGACACGTGTGGGATGAACTTCATGTACAGAAAATTGATTGGGATACCAAAGAGCTCAAAATTTTTTGTTAACTCTTCTTTAAGTAAAACACCCTATTTCTGCATATACTAAATTGCTTTATAGAAGGTTGTGAATGCTTGGGAGAAAGCACTGATGCATGAATGTAAGCTTGAACAAATCACATAAGATTTGTCAGGAGCATTAAGGAGAAAATATTGTTAGATAAAAAATATGACATTCAACAGCTTCGTACAACTGGAAGATATTGTAGATTGTGAGGGAAAGGGCAGCTTGGGGTAAACATGAAAGTGGCAAGATTTCTTCCATAGAAAAACAACAGTGGTAGACAAACTGAATAAATTTAATGAGAGAGCAGTGAATGCCTATGGGATTTGAAGCTTCAAAACCTTGTGCTGTATAGCAAAGAGTGTAGAACAGTTGGGACACCACGAATGTAATTCTCATCCTGCAACTACAATTAGGTAAATACTCACACACTGTACATGAAATAATGCTTGTGAATTGCACAAAAATGTATAGAGAGAGACTATAGTCCCTGTGGTACAGTAGGAGCACACTGACCCTACACCTCATGAGTGATTCCAACTGGGTTCAAGCTCTGCCCTGGGAGGATCATTTGCATACCAATCCATAACTGCCCCTCTTCACCTAGCAGTAATTGGGGATCTGGTTGCCAACCTCTTGGCAGGTTGTGTTCCAGGGAAAACTAGTAGGATACTATAACACAGCTGTCGATTAATATCAGTGTTGCTCACACAGCAACAAGGTATATTACTTGTAATATTCCATATGTTGTTCGTAGGCTTAAAAGATTGGATATGTTTATGCCTCATTAATAGGCATATTAGATATATATTAATGAGTAATACACATAGTAAAAAGAAATATGGTTAAAATATATATATAGGCATTAGGAAGATGTAGCAAAAGTTATATATGGACGATAAATGATCCTAAATTGCCTGTTTTTTATATTTTTCACAGTGAAGATTTTATTGCTTAATGTTTAGAGTGTAAAGACACCATTTAATAATCGTCTGTTTTTCATCTTTAGGCCCCACCACCTGTTGCTTGCCATCGTCGCACACAATCCCTCCCTCCACGTCTCAGCTCCAAGACTCGTCATCCTACCCAAGGGCACTTGAGCCTTCTGTATGACAATCCTACAATGGCAACTTTTAGATTTCACTCTGGCCTCGGTGGTGACATTGCTGTGTTGGAGGTCATGGCAGAGAGCCGCTATTGCTTCATGTTTCCCCAGCAGTTGCTGTATGTTTCATATTTAATTACATGTAATCATATATATACTGTATATACATATATTATTAATGAATAAGTTTGAAAAGTAGTGATTTTGTTTCGATTTAATTTACAAGTCATTTTTTCTGGAACAGTTAGAAATCATATACGTTTACGCTGGTAATGCAGACACCCATGGAAATATTACCTACCTTAGCTAGTTGACATCTAGTGAAATACTACCTACTTTAGCTAGTTGACACTCATGGAAACAATACCTACATCATTAGCCAAACTAACACCCATGGAAATACTAGCTGCTTTTTAAACATTGTTTTCAGTGACATTGCTTAATTTTTTCCTAGGTAAGTTTCAGACATAAATATTTTAAGTGTAGATAAAATGGCTGAAAGTCAGCTGAAGGCAAGAGTGAAAATGTGGTCTGGTGGTTTGAACTCTGAATAAGTACAGTGTATATACACTGTATACATTATATACATGTAAATACATTATATACATGTAAAAGTATACATTTTACAACACATATAATGATCAGCTAGTATATGCCAGAACTTGTCTTGCATAGTGAGATATCATATATTTAGTTATTTAATACTCGGGCAGGAAATGTGACTGGTTGAAATTCAGTGGAGCTTCTTAATATGTGAAATGATACTAATCTTCATCAACAGGCGACTGTGGATCTCTGAAGAAAGACGATGGCAGGAAGAGCTGTCGTCGCTTGGAGATTTATCTGACCAATGGCACACCAGACAAATGGCACTACTCAATCAACATGTGACACTCATCAACATCTATAATATGGCTCTGGACACTCTTGATGTTGCTGCACATTCAGGTATGATATTTTGTATTGATGTTATTAGAGGTCTTGCTAAAAGCAATGATTGGGAATTAATTATATGTTGTCTGATCAGAAATTGGCTTCAAAATGTATTCATACAAATACAGTATAGGAACTGCCAGATGGCACCCTTGCTGACTATTGAATTAACCTGACAGCCACTAGATGGCAACTATGACATCATAAGTCCCTCTGACCAAGCTCCTCACATTCTATCATAAACGGCTCCTGCAGAAGGTTATACGGGCAAGTGAAACCACATCTAATAGGCTAAGTGACTTCGTTATCCTTAGAAACTTAATACTTCATTTGTACTATGGGCTAATGCTACATTCATGAATGATTTTTGTGTGACACTGTTGATGGTTTTGATCACCTCCATCTTTTTACTTGAGTTGTTCCAACTGTCAATAACTCTGTTCACAAAAAGAGAATGTTTCTGGATCTCTTTTGCTGCGTTTGTTTTCTAAACTTAAGTCTGCGGTCTCTTGTTCTAGATGTTGCAGGTTTAACAATTCCTCCTTTTCAACTTTGTCGATTCCCATCATGATTTTGTATATGGTAGTCATGTCTCCATGTTTCTTTCTAGCTGCTTGCTTTGGCATCTTTAATGCCTCAAGGCTTTACTCACAGCTCTTGTTTTGTTGGTCTGGAAGCCATTTGATAGTATGCCTTTGCACCATTTCTATTTTTTTTGTAAATAGGGACACCAATCAATTGCTGCTTACTGTAATTTAGAATTCCCAGTGTTGTGCATAATTTGTTTAGTATTTCCCCATCCACGTATTTAAACATGATTTTGAAGTTTACAAGTGTAGCATAGGCTCCTTTCACAGTTTCTTTAATGGGGTCTTGTTGTAATAGTTTTCTATCCAAAATTATGCCTAGTTCTCTTTCTTTGTCAGAGTACTTTTATATCCGTTCACATAACATGTAGATTACATGTGGCCTGTTTTTGTCATATTCCACATTTCATCATGTGCCATTTCTTCACCTTGAATTCCATCTACCATGTGTTGTTCCATTTGCTTATATTGTCTTGGGCAATTGGAAGGTTATTAGTCATTTATTCTGAACTGGCTGCATGAATTACCACACGAATTCAGCATGCCACAGTCATCTCCTATATCTAGAATTAACATTCAGACATACATCTGCTATGTAACCCATGCCATTTTTACTTCACTGTCCTTCACATCAAACTCCTGAATTGACTCGGCTGATCATGAGATCACCCACCACCTCACTCGCAATTGATGGCGCCTATCGAGCCACCTCCATCTTTGTCAACATCATTGCTCATGGCAGAAACCTCTGTACCAACCCTTCAATTAATGTGTATGCTCTACCACCCATTCTGGAGATCACTCCAACTCGCACACACTGACAACATAACTTAGACTTGACACAGTTATTTCTTTCTGCAACACAAAGGGTAATACTGTATTTACAAATATACAAAGTCTGACCTACATATGTGGTGTTTAACAGACCTGGGGAATGGTAAGAGGCTGTGTGTCCCATAACAGTGTATGTGTGTGTGTTATTAGCCAAGTACAATATTGTTTCAGAATAAGAAGTACATTCTTGGTGTCCTATCTTAGAGATTATCTTTATCTTGTGAAGTTTTGAAACTTCCATTGGTGTTTACATACAATACCAGTTGACATTTTCCATCTATCACACATTTTCAAATGAGAATTCATGTCCATTTTTTGACACTTTTGTTTTCTTAGTTTGAATATATGACCCTGTGCATATGCATTAGTATTAACAATGATTAATTAGGAATAAGCTTCCCTATACTGTAAATTTGAGCATTTTTATTTATTATGGTACATTATTTACCTTTGTCAATATTTAAGGTTCAAGCTTCAAGAAAAGTATGGACAAAGGAGAAACATCACTAGAAATGGCACCAACAAATCTTCACCTCCAAAGACTCTGGGCTCAAAACGAATCTCTCCGACGTTCAGGATTTTATGACGTCATTACAAATGGAGTTTTTAGTGCGTATTCACATGGATACAAGCATGGGGGTCTAGTCAAGTAAGTCACATGCTTGGCTCTTGTTTAGTTCTTTGCATTAACGTGTACAGAATTCAAGCTTGCACATAATGCATGATATAAACTAAATTTGCAGTACATTTAAGGATTCTTCTAGGAAAATGTATTCTCCTTTTCAGCATGCTGCAGAAGGCTAAGAGTTCACGAAGAACTCCTGGTGGAGGAGACAAAGCTTGGGCCAGTGAGGCAGCAGTAGAAGGTGTGAAGAGATTAAGACAAGAAGTGACAGCCATTCTTCGATCCATTTTAGCCTCCTTAAGGCAAGATGATACTAAAACTCTGACTACACTTCTCCAGAAATTACAAGAAAAAGTATGTGCACAGGTTTATATCTTCTCAGATATTACAGAACACCCTCTACATTTGAGAAGCCAATATATTTTAATTTTTTTTACTATGACTCTCCATATTTATTTGATGCCATAGATCCCTAGAAAATGCTTCTTGCTGATAGTCTCATGTACGATCTCGTGTACAATCTGCTCTTGTACTTCAGGAATGAAAGGTACACATTCTATATACTGCCTCTACAGTACTTATATACTTAAATACAGGTATATATGCCTATAGTACTTGTATAACCCTGTCTCTTACGTAGATTAGAGATCAATTGCATAAAATATGAATAGGTGGTGTGCTGCAATGTATGACTGCTTGAATATGATGGTGCTTGTTTTCCCCTTATGATATAAAACGTTGATGATATAATGAATTGGCCAGTATTTGTTTTATTCTAATATTAATAATGTTTCACTACTTGTCTGTTATTCATATTTGTTCTCCGGGCTGATGCGCACCTCCACCCTATGAAACCTGAAAACTGTTTCTTGTACTGTAATGGATTTATGGATATTAGTAATAATATTGTGTGTAAATTTTTTTTAAGAAACAGAGTGCCTTGACAAAAATGATGTGGTTCAGTGAAGTTGCCATTGGGTGTAGTATAATTCAACTGTTTATTTCTCATATTTTGATTTCTTGTTCTCTTGACATTTTCCTTTATTAAAAAAAAAGGCTTTATCCAGAATCTTGTACAGATTTGTCGACAGTATTTAGTGGTATAACAGCATTTTAGAGACGGAAGGCATCTCCCGTCATGCAGGGTGCCCTCGCACCTCCACAGATCTCCAGAATCAGCTCTTGATACTGGTAATGGCTCAAAAGGGCCACCACTTACGGGCTATTCATGCCCGTGCCACCTTTTGGATGGCTTAATCTTCATCAATCAATCAGCATTTTAGAGGCAGTCTCCAAGTACCTGCTTCAGTATTCATTAAATTACAGAGTGATGCTGCAGAGCAAGCTGCATAAGAATCTTAGTCAAAGCAAGAACTGTTCCAGAGGCAACTTGATACTAAATCTCTTCGAGTGTTTTTGTAACCAAGATGCAGTTTCAGGGACAGTATAGTTGTATGGATAACAAGATACCAGAATTACATTGGTTCAAGAAAAGCAGGTTAGGTAGGGCATGAGCGATCCAATAAGAAATGTGGGGAAGATAGTGACATTTATTTGAAGGTGGTATCAGCAAGTCAGGAATACAATTAAAAATTTATGTAAAATGTAATCATTTCGTTAATTTATATTTATATATTAAGACTTATAGATGAATTCTAAGCCATTTAACCAAGAAAAAACATGATTTACTATATCACATTAGTAATTCATTGATTGTGCCTTTTACTTACAGACTCGGTCTCTTCTAAACATCATTGAGCCTTCTTTGGTGGAAGAAGCATTCGAGTTTTTGGACCAAATTCGAGTGCCTCAAAATCCATCACGAATCCTCACCCTTGCATCACGCACCTATTCATCGTATAAAATGGCTGGTTATCTAAGTCCTGAGACAGCCTTGGATATGGAGCTAATGACCCCAGATGTTTCCAGTATATCTTTATGTGATAAGGCTAACAATAGGCTCACAGATAGGGATAGATTTTGTTCCACAGTTATAACAACAAAAGAGATAGATATTATGGATGTGCAAGAGAACAGTGTATATAGACCAACTGATGAACCTGAACCTTGGGATCTGATTCAGCTCAATGTGCAGGCTAGTGTTATGTGCCTCACGAGTAAAATAAAAAGTTTCTGTAATAGAATGGACGAAATAAGTGGGAAGAGAGAGTTAGTGCCTGATGTTACCAATAATGAATTACAAAGTGAGTTGCAGAGGACTTTAAAAGAGCAAACTAATGATACTAGACAAAGTGATAGTTGCTTATTCAATAATGTTAGTGAAAGAACCAGTCCAACTAAAAGTAAAGTGTCGGTGAGTGAAGCACAGAATATTAGCTCGAATCTTGCAGCTCAAAACCAAGCGCTTGTTTCCTCGTCGGTTAGCTCAGATACGAGTCAGGTCTCTGGGAGATCAGTGTCCTCCAGTCTAGGTGTTACGAGAACCAGTGAAAGTCAACAATCTTCATGTTCTGCAACGCCTGATGTGTCTCCATGTGAAGAAGACAGTGGCATTGGTTTAGAACGGGTTACAAGTGAGGTTGAGAAAACTGATTGTATAAGTGAAGGTGGCCTTTCGGCTGATGAGGAAAGAAGAGAGGAGCTCTTGCCCCTTGACAAAATTGAAGTAAATGACTCACGTTTTGTGTGTGATAGTACATGTGTCAAATCTGGTAAATTGGAATCTATTATGGAACAAAGTTTAGAAGATTTAGGTACTACTGTTGAGGGAGAATTAAAGTCAGACATATGCAATGATAAAGTTTTGTCAAAGGATTTGATACAATGTGTGAATGATGTTTCAGTAAATAAGCAAAATGCGTGCCAGGTTAAGATGAAAGATTTGACCTCAAATGCCTCGAAGGTCACTGATGATGTCGGTAAGAAAACGTGTGTTGAACTTGATAGATATGAGGAAAAGAAAAACGAAAAAAGTGATTCCGACATAAATAATTCAAACAGTGCATGTCAATGTATAGAAAAAGAAAACAAAATCAACAGTACAAATAATGAACTGTCATTCAAAGAAGTTTCTAACAATGAAACAACATTACAAAATGAAAGTGAATTAAATAATTCTGAGGAAGTAGACTGGGTGGGAGAAGTACGACCCAGCATGAAAAAGTTGAGACAAGCAATGGATGGACTAATGCGAACTGCGCGCCTTGTGCACAGTGTGTTTCGTTTACAGCAAGTACCAGAAGCTGCGCAACAAGCTCACCGTATCAAATACAGAAGAGATATTTGTTTTTCTCAAGCCGTAAGTAATCAAAGTTTTTTCTAAATTAATCACTATTTGAGGATTATCTAAAAAAATAGATACAGAATTAATGTGAAACTTTGATTTTAATTTTTAAATACTAATTTAACTTTATAGGTACTCCATCCTAATGTGTTTTCCTGTAGGAAGGCTTTGCTTGACCTTTTACACCTAATTTAATAATAGCCCCTCTGTACTAAATTTTTTCAAGCTAAGAAAGTTCTTTAATATATACCCATTTCATACTCCATTGGATCCCCGCCTAGTCCTTTGATGCTGTCTTCGACTTGGTCTCCCTGATTTTGTGGCGTGTTCTTTTTCTGGTACCACCCTTAACATTTATTTTATCTGCTCTAGTAACGGGTAACAGGGCGAGTGAATTGCTCTTCTTACATTTTCAGGATTTCATCTTTGTCTCCACCTGAATCCCTCATTCCTTGCTGAAAATAAGACAGCAACTTTCTGATGATACCTGATTGTTGTCCAGTATTGGATGGTGTACCCAGGGTGCATCTCACTCCATGTCCCATTGCTATTTTGTGGTGTTATTTTGCGGCTCCTTTGGGGGTTGGGTTTGGCAACATTGTTTTTGACCAATGGACAAAGTTGCAAGTGTCCATCTCCTCCAAGAAGTGGTGTAACAATCAATTCTTAAGCTTATGTGCATGGCATTCAGGAGTTTGACACTTAGTCTTTTCATTAATAATAACTTTTCATTTGTAATAATAATGACAAGATTCATGCCAGAGACCTCTTGAGGTCTTAATTGTACATTTGCAGTTAGGTACCTGCATATATGCCTTTGCTTTTGCCTTCAATGCGTGATTGAAACGCTTTGCGTGTTAGTGTCTTTGCAAGAATGTAAAAACACCAATCCTATGTAATCTCACAAACCTATTGTACCTTCTTGTAAATAACATTATTATTATTACAGTATTATTATTTCTGGTCACATCTCTACCTGATACCTTTTCACCTGTTACTTTTCTACCCTGTCTTCAAACCAATACTCCGGGGAAAACTACAAGAGCAGTTAATTGGAAAATTATTGAGACACATGGGAGCGTTTCAAGTTCTTGAAGTCATTTATCTAACTTAAGCACGGTATTTTTAATTATTGCCAGATGAACAATAAACTACGTTAATACAGTGGCATTGTCATGTTTCTTCCCATAAAGCTTTTAAACACTGTATACTTTTTTTTAGCTAACCACACTGGTGACGAGCCTGATGACAAGACTGTGGTGCAGGAAAGCAGATCCGTTGTTTGTTACTGTCTTAGCTTATTTGGGACCACTTGCTGAATTTGAGTGCCTTGTTTCATGTCATGGGTAAGTTGTAAAGTCTATTTGTTTAACTTTGCTTATCTGAAGTTTTATTTGCTTCATATACCTTATACCTTACATAAGCTATGCCTTATGTATAATGATGATGGATATGTGGGCCTGTAGGCTGCTCCAAGCAACAGCCTGTTGGACCAAGCTGTCTCACAAATGAAACCTATGCAAACCAGAACTGTAAACCTATTTCCATTCTGAAAAATTTAACAGAGAAGACCCTCAAAATTATAGACCTGTATCAATGTCAAGCATGATAGAAAAATCACTAGAAAATTATTAAAATCAAATGGGTAGAATACCTCGAGTGAAATGACAGAATAATTGACATTATTTGAAAAAATTGAGTCATAGACCTCAAAAATACTAGGCATGTTTAGTTCTGTAAGTATGTTATGCCATGTATTTGAAAATCTGAGGAATCTAATGGCATTTTCAGGAAAGAGGAAGGTATGCTGAGTGACATGGTTGTTGCAGTGGAAGACCTTGGTACAGTCGAATTTGTTATGGTGTCTTCTGCGGGACCACAAAATGGTGGACGTACCCGTAGTGAGGGCGCTGCACCCCCTCCACCGTCATATGAACTACCAATGCCGTATGTCTCGGGAAACAGGTAATATTTTTTTAAACTTAAATTCATAAAAATGCTATACTGCTTTGGATTTCCATGTTGCATATAGCAAGATGAAGCATATTGAAATAACTCAAAATATCTACTAGGTAATAACTAAATTTGTTTGTACATAAAAGTTTTTTGTATCAAAACTACAGTCATTACTAGAATAAAATCATTAGGAGGGCATAAGATGTCAATCTGTCATGCAATGTGATTTTCCCTGATGCTTTATTCTGTTCTTGTAATATTTTTGGCACTATTCCATCTGGTACTACCTGCTGGATTTAACTCTTATATGGGAAGAGACTCAAAAGTTATGTTTACATTTACAGATGTGGAATGCGTGTAGTGTTGCCAGTACCTGAACATGTGCTGAGCCTCCTGCCAAACCCCACCACTCGACAACCTAATGATCCTCCGAGCTTTTGTGTTACTCCAGTACTATTTAATATTGGCATCAATGAAGAGGTAAGAGAGAGGCTCCCTCCCTACCATCTCCTTTCAGCTCTACGCCGTTGCTGTTGCTAGTGAAGAAAGCATATTCACACATCTGATCAAATATTGCTGAGCACTTGACAGCTACAGTGGTGCAGTGCCACACTGATGTGACAATGACTGCATCTTACATGGCATAATGTTTTGCCACAGAACAGCAATACTGTACCACCACAGGGGTCTTCTTGGGCCTGACCAGTCGTCAAACACCTCATAGCTTGCAGTGTAACACAATTCAACACTCTACAATTTTAGAACGATTTTAGCCCTCAAAATGTGACCATCATCAAAAAATGGCCTTATTTGCTTTGAAATAATTGATCTGTATTCAAAAATAGAAAAAATCGGCATTGAATGTAATAAAATAGCTCTTCCTGGTAGAGCCCAATTGGCTTCCTGAAGCTGTCTTGCTGATATGGCTCCATACTTAAGAAGTCACATGAGTCGCAGAAATTCCATTTAGCTACCACTCACAGAAGCACAGGGAATGAATGACAATTCGCTACGGCACTGGGAGAGCAACCAGAAAGTCGGGAAAGTTTTACAGACAACTGGAGGGCTCATAGAAAATGAAGCCTCAACACAGATCAATAACTCTGTAGATGATTTACACAGCTTCATTCAAACTAGCTTGAAACTCATTAGTACCAGTCACTACCACCAGATGGCCCAGACCCTGCCCTCATCCGGCTCCCCATCTCGGTTCTGTTGCTGATGTTATGGTGGCAATTGCTATCTGTCGTGCTCGAGTTCACCAGTCGTGGGCAAACCCCTTTGCTTCATGCTAAGTGCCAGCCATCCTTGTACATCATTCATCCTGCAGGAGCCATTTGTTGTTGTTGTTCCTTTATTTTCGTATTAGCTTCATATGCATGATTTCTCTTTGGGTTATTGTGTAGGCTTGGCTCTTGTTGCACTTCGAGCTGCATGCACTGAGTTTTATTTTCGTGGGTACCTACTCATGCAAGGGCTGGACCACCTGGTGGCGATCAATACTAATGAGTTTCAAGCTAATTTGAATAAATCCCTTGTTCAGTGTGAATTGTTTGTGGAGTTGTTTGGCAATTTCCAGGCTTCATTTACGGTGAACACTCCAGTTGTCTGCAAAGCTTAGCTCATTTTCTGGATGCTTTACTGGTGGGGTAACAAATTGTCACTAGCTCCCTGCACCTCTATGAGAGGTGCCTTGTTCTAGCTCTGGTCCCCAGTAGGCCAAGCATAACTTTCACGATTGATGTGACCCATTAACTTGAAACAATCTTGACAAGATTGCTTCAGGGAGCCACTGCGGCCCTAGCAGAAAGTGGCATTTTATTACATTCAAGGCTTGTTTTATTTATTGTTAATAATGGAAGTTCTGTATATCATCTAAAATACTTGACATTGTTGTAAGTAGACAGTGACTGGAAAATATTAAACAAAGTTATTTTATTTGTAAGTGAAAACTTTTCTTAAAACAGGCTACACTAGCTGAAAAAGTGGGAACAGATGGTCCTCAGACACGGAACAACCAAGACAGCTTTGAGCGATTATCACAGTACTATCACCGCTTCAAGAAGCTGCCTCTGCCCCAGGAAAACAGTAGAAGTAAGTTCTGATGTTATATACCTAGTACTTAAGACTGCAGTTATACATAGAGAAAATTGCACGTGTGTGTAGAGGCCAAGTGGGTACTTGCAATGTATACATAGTGATCTAAGGTATTGGGTAAGGATGTCACTGCATAACAGCGAAGTAAGATAGGCCACTTGTCTAGTCAGATATACCAAGATGCTCTTAATTGTTTCAACAACATTGAACAGATTGTGGAAACATTGATCTTTGCAGCACTTTCAACCATCATATTTTTAATCCACCAAACACCCTCAGCCTCCCTCCATAGCAGTGAATGAATATATAAACTGTTGTCTCATTTTACCAAACTTGATATAGATTATATTGAGCAAAACATTGTTTATAAATAAATTTATCCAGGAGCAGTGTTCATCTTCACATACTTGTCAGCAGCTCTCGTCCACTGAAATTTAGCCACCTGTATTTTGAATATCATTCTCAGGAGTACCGTCACTAGGCAGCGAAGTACCACTTGTGGATCTCATAGACAAATTAGGAGTTGAAGTGATGTCCCAGAGAAGCAAGAACCCAAGCATCCTCTACTTGGCTGCTCAGTGTTGTCGTGCTATGGCGGGTAAGAAGTTATAATGTACTGTACTTCATTAGACGTTTTTGCATAAATATAAAATGTGTGACACTTACATTACTAAAGGACACTAAAAATGTCAAAACTATTTTTTTGTATGTATTTTTATACTTTTGCCCTAATTCTCGTTGTCTTTGTATCACCCATGGAAGCTATGTCAACAACAGTTGCATAACTTGAGTTGTCTGTTAACTTCTATGTGAACAAAAGTATCAGATGTAAAGAATATTGCCTAAACATCTCGTCCTGTGTGGGAACCAAACCCATCATATTTTTTGAGCATTTTTTATACTCACAGCAAAGTTGGTTATAAGTTCTATTGCCGAGATATCTAAGCTTGCGGACATATTCATATTGTACAAAACCATTGACTATTATACACACAGAGGTGACAGTTATGTGCACTTGAGGTGCTGTATTTATGAGCAAGCAGATTGACTGACATAAATGAGCATAAAACAAAAATAATATTTCTGGTTCTAGCTGTAAAATTGACATGTGACCAAACCACACATCAGAAAATGGAGAAACGATGACGTTTCGGTCTGTTCTGGATCGTTATCAAGTCGTGTAATGATCGACTTGATCAGGATCTGTCCAGGACGGACCGAAACATTGTTGTTTGTCCATTTTCGTATGTGTGGTTTGGTCATCATATCTTCAACACATTATTCTCTCTCAATCTCAGCATAAAATTAGCAGTTCCAACTGCTGCTTATATGGTAACACCCATTCTCCAACCCCTCCTCTTTTTTTGATCCCACATTGTATATCACTGGAAAAAGGAAAGTCTTGTGTATTACCTTCATAGTATTGCTTCCAGGAATGTGAATAAGGTCTTATTGTATTTTTACCTAGAATATATTGTAATTTGTTATTTTTTGTTTTCCATAAAGGATATAAAGAAACATCTTCCTTAAAGATTATTACCTCTTGTTTCATACATATTTCCATTCTTCATTAAATCTAGGTCTGCGCTTTATCTCTTGTAAAAGTGGAAAGGATCGTACAGGAATGAGTGCCACACTAGAGCAAGCAAACATTTTGGCAGCAGAATATGATTTAGCAGAAACTGAATTTCAGAGAGCTCTCAACTGCATGAGAAGGTAA